AGGTCTATACGTAGCGCCTCTTATACTACCTATAGTAGCTACTTACTATACAGTTTAAACCTATAACCCTAGGGTAGTATTATTATATATAATAGACTAGCCCTAGAGGGGCTTTAGGGGTAACTAGCCCCGTGGCTATTAAGGGCGTAAGCCCTAACCCCCTTAACTATAAGGCTAAAAGGATTTATAATAATAATACTAACTAATTATTATCTAGTTACACCTATAAGGGCCCCCTTTAGGGGCTCCGTGCTAGCCACTCTTAGAAGGTGCTAGGCTAGAGCCTAGCTTATAATAACTATATATTAATAAAACTAGTAGGAAAATTTCCTTACCCTTATAGTTATGTATTATATTAGAAAGATATATTAAAAACAAGTTAAGTTATCCTTACTAGTAGTAAAAAGTAATTAGAAAATATAATAAGTAACTAAAGAAAAATAGTACTACTATAATACTTAGTACTTAGTATATAGTAGTAATAGTAGTTTTTATATACTAATTAAGCTATATAGCCTATCTAATACCTTTATAATTACTAATCTATAAAGATATAGGGAAAAAAAATACTATTACCTACTTAATATAGCTTAATATAGTTCTTAATATCTTAATATACTTCTATCTTAAGAAATATGCCTAAAAACACTACCTTTAGTAGAAGGCATCTCACTGCCTAGGGTATTACTATTATATAGTAAGATAATATGACTTAGTTCTTAGTGCTTATCCTACTGCCGTTAACGTGGTAGATTATGCCCCTACTAACGTAAGGTGGAATACGCTGCTATATTGTAGTAGATATGGAAGGTGAACTCTCTAAATCCCTTTTAGAAACAAAAGGCACTAGGGGTGCCTCCTATGCCTACATCCCACCTTTCAAAAAGGCGGTGTTGATGTAGGAAGAGAGTTGCGCTTAGTATGTGTTAGCGCTAATTAATAAGTACCGAACTAGATTCAGTTACGAGGATAGTCTGGCCAGTAAAACGAGTCGGTCCGGCTAGCAGCCCTCTTTTTGGTGGCTACTCCACAACGACGGTGCACCCGAAGAAGTTACCAAACGGAAATTAAAATACCGCAAAAGGAAAACGGAACTCAATCGGCTGTACGCTGCTTGGCTTCCAGCTTTTTATCTAGAATACGGCTCTATATTCATACAAAGGGTGGAGAATCGGACACCTGCTTTACAACTCATCCAAGACATGGATATACTTCTTGTCTTCACGCTTTTCCTTCTCCGTCGCTGGGGGTAGGTCATAGTAGTTCTGGCTGCGGAAGCCTTGCTGAATCTGAGGTTAGCAGTGTGGCTAGGAGGTTAACTGCTGGTTAAAAAGCTTACCAAGTAATGGTAGGTGAAGTTGGCTATGTCGCCGGGCTCAAGACCAAGGTCCTTGAAAGTCTTGGCCTCAGGATCAATGACTTGGTCGATGAACTCCCGCTCCACCTCATCGGCCGACATAGTGTGCCACCAAAGGGCTTTGTTGAGAACGCCAGCAACGGGCTTGAGAGTAGCCTTCGGTATGTTGACGTGTCTCCTCTGTTTGAAAATTTCTTTGTCGACCATTTCGGCAATCTGCGCCATGCTGTACTGCTTGGGGCCATACAGCTCAAAGGTTTGGCCTGCTGTAGAGTCATCGTATAGCATCTTTTCCAGACCAGCGCCAACATCGATTGACTATCAATGTCAGATGCCGATTGAAGGACCACAACTCAACGTTGACTTACGTGGACTGGCCAGAACTTCTCTTGCATGTTATTGGCCGTGAACAAGTTCAACACAGACGCCAACTTCAGAAGTAGGTTGTCCTCGAACCCAAATATCGGAGCAGGGCGAACAAGAGTAGTCTCCGGGAAGATGCCTCGCGCAACTTCCTCCCCACGTCCCTAAAAATGTTACTATTGAATCGATTTGTGGGTTCGTGGCAAGCGCACCTTTGTGGCAAAGAACTCGGATGCTGACGCAGTGCTGGCGTTGTGCGAGGACACATGAATATAACGATCGACATCATACTTCGCCACAGCGTCGACAATACGTTCGGTTCCTTCGACATGGACATCGGCGAGAGAGAAATTCCTGAATACATTTAGCGCCAGTGCTCTAGAGTAACCTACGGAATGAGGCTTACTTGGTAGGATAGTCACGGCCAACGAGGTTGTAGACGATATCAGAGTGGCGAACGCTAGCTTCGATTGAGGCTGTGTTGCGCAGATCATATTCCTAGTCCGTCTGTCAATTATTTTGAAAAATAGCTGAGGCTGGGAGGTTCTTACGATAAAGACAACTCGCCCGAGGTCGCCAGTCACTTTGAGGTGGCGTTTCGTTATTTCCTCACGGTATGGAACGACAACGGTGCATCCTTGTCGGGCTGATCTCATTAGCCATGAAAAAATCGAGCCATTCTCTCTAGTCAATTGCCATACCGAGCCTGTTCACAATATAGCGACCGAGCTGACCGGTTGCGCCGAAAACGGTAGCGGTATGGCCTGTGAAGTGTAAGTCGTATTCTGACCGGTTGGAAAAGAGTCTGCAAACCTCCAAGAGAGGATCTATTAAGAGAGCAATGTTAGCTTTGTGGCACTGGGGTGAATTGGTCTTGCACGCATACCTTCCACCCTCCGTGCGAACAATTGGCTTGCCCGTCCTAGTGATGGCAATGTCGGAAAGGAAACGCTTCGAAGCAGCATTGGGCAAAATCGTGCGGGCAGAGCGCGCCGTGATCAATGAAGAGACCATTCTTGGGGCAGTAGGTTCGATGCAAGAATAGCTGTTACCTTTCAGCCAATTGCAATGGGCTCTTCTATCCTCTGATCTCGGATTAGCTACAAGGTAGACAGTGGAGCCGAATTGGAATCACGTGCAGTGTCACATGTAAGCCAGTCCTACAGCAACTACCTATATGCGCGAGCAAGGCCTGTTTTTAAATAGGGTACTAGACAGGTCGCTCTTTTAATACATAATTTTCCCCTATTATAATACTATTAATATCTCTAATATAGCTTATAAATATATATATATATATTTTAATATAAAATAATAACTTAATAATATTATAAAAAAAGAAAATTATGTATTAAATAGAATATATATTTAGTACTTTATTAAAAAATAGGTTTTATAAATATAGATAAGTAAATAAATATTTAATTATATAAGTAAGTATTTTATTATAATTATTATAATTAAATATAATAAAAAATAATTATTTGATTAGATATTTAATATTTTATATAAATAAAAATAAAGTTCTATTTATTTTATTTAAGTTTTTATATAGTTTCTTAGTATATAAGTATTATATTAAGTTTATAATAGTACCTTAAGGACTTATCGAACATCTTAAGTATAGTGTACCTACCTAGGAGGCAGGTTGTTACAACTTCCAGGCACCCAGGCTTCTAGGCTCCCAGAGCCTCACGTGGCCGCCACCGAATCGCAGAGGCTTTTTGACATCTCTATTCACAACCAACAACGCGACCGGTGCACCATTTGCCATTTTCAGGAGGCAACCCGATCCCTTCGTTTTCTCGGCCTCAAGCTTCATTTAAAATTCCGAGAGCCCTGCGGCAGCGACAGACGCAATGAATGCTGAGATCATCCCCGACTTCCTTGCGGAGCAACGGGATGCTGCGCCCGAAGACCTTCAGCCGCTGATACTTGACTTCGAGAATTATTGGGAGAGAAAACTCTGGCACCAACTCACCGATTCACTTGTCCAGTTCTTCAGCCACGACGATAGCGCCCCGCAGCGCCTAGCTTTCTACAGAGTCTTCATTCTCAAGTTTGCTGACAAGATCAATAAGTTGAAGTTGGTAGACCTGGCCTTGAAGGCTGCTTCGCAATGCAAAGGTAAATATCCACCTAGTGGGAGATTCAATTCGTTGTTTATTAATGTATGCTAGACAACCGCGAGCGCCTTGAGTTCCTGCAGTCCGTTGTGAGAAAGGTCGACACCGAAGACTCCAAAGATGCTCTCGTCTTTGCATCTGTGGCAGTAGCGCAAGTCAAACTAAGCCTGGGCGAGCTTGATGAAGCGCGAAAAGATTTGGATATGGCCGAACGTATCCTTGACTCGCTGGACTCGGTAGAGGTTATCGTCCATGCTGCCTTTTACGACGCAAACGCTAGCTACTACCAGGCAAGTCGCGCTGCATATAAACAAGTCCCTCCCAATATCATAAGGCTCTGACCATTCACAGAGGAAGATGGATTTCGCCAACTACTACAGAACGGCCCTACTGTACCTCGCATGCATCGACCTCTCAACCATGTCGGAAGACGAACGTTATCGCCGAGCATACTACTTAAGCGTCGCTGCCCTGGTTTCGAACAGCATCTACAATTTCGGCGAGCTTCTCCTTCATCCAATTCTGGATGTACTTGCACATAGTGAAGATGATTCTTGGCTACGCGATCTTCTCTTCGCGTACAACCGCGGTGACTTGGCCACCTACGCTGCGCTCTCCGATCATATTGCTTCCAACAAGCTCCTGAACGAGAATTCGACCCACTTGAAGCAAAAAATCTACTTGGCTGCTCTGACGGAGGCCGTTTTCCGACGCCCTCCTCATGACCGGGCGATGTCGTTTGCCACGATCTCACAGGAGACAAAGGTCCGACAGGATGAGATCGAACACTTGATCATGAAAGCTCTGAGCTTGGGTTTGCTACGCGGAACTATTGACCAAGTGAATGGAGTAGCCCAAATAACGTGGGTGCAGCCAAAGGTGTTGGATATGACGCAAATTGGAAGCATGCGCCAGCGTCTACTCGACTGGGACTCGAGTGTGAACCAGCTGGGTAACTGGATTGAGAAGGCCGGCAAGGATGTATGGGCGGCATAGGCCAAGAAGGATGGTCCTTGACCAATTCTCATGCGTCGCAAAACGCCAAAAGCTTAGATGAACTGGACGTCGCGTGCTATAGACTTGGCCAAGCATCATTCTTACACATTTGGCCAGAGCGACGCAGTATACAGGCACAACTATGCTATTATGTATCAATAAATAGGTCGACGAGCCTGAGGCTATTTTGCAATACTCGCGAATATGTGCTCTCATGAGTAATTATCAAGCTATTGGGGAACCAACTACATTAACCATACCAAGCAGCCAAGAGGGCCACCAGACACACCACACAACTATGGATGTATACATGCCCCAAACATTCCAACCAAAGCTTGACTCCTTCAAAATATCAAGAACCGGTATTTCAAGTACCTGGGATGATACGTAGACTAAGACGGGTGGTGCAATAGTGGTCAATAAGCCGGCGAGCCCTAGCCTGACAGTGAGGTTGCTCGAGGTTCGCACGAAAGTAAAGGGCGTGGCGAGCATCCCGACTAGAAATGCAAGTGAAAAGTTGAGTGTTGCCAAAGTTGCGAGTGACATGCCCAGAAACAGAAGAGAAAATGATTTGATGAGCTGGAATTGTTGGACTGTCGCTTTGTTAAGTGCGAGCAGGTGCGAAATTAGCCAGGGCAGCAGGACTGATACCACTGTGAATATTCCGAAAGTTGGAGACAAGATCTGTCATGGCAAAGATTAGCCTATTATATCTCGAGAGGCATTGTGCCGTGAGCGTACCGAAGCAGGTATGTTGTTGAACGCGAACAGCGGTATGACCGAAAGCGCCTGGCATATGGTAACAACAGAAATGGGCAAGAAGAGATCTCTTTCGAGTGTGGATGATGCAGCCAAAGTAGTTTCCTTCACACTCTGTACTTTAGCATTCCCCGAAGTCTGCAGTTTAGTTTGGGACGCCTGGCCACTCTTAACCCATAAGAAAATAGCCATGATGCTGAAGTTGGCAGCTAAAAGCATGGCGCTTGGGAGGTATGTACCAATGCTGACGAAATGATCTCTGTGCATGAGAAGATAAAAGAAAAAGCTTTGATGGAGATGCTCCAACAAGTTATTTAGACTTCGGAAGGTGCCCTCAACAATTCGCCCCAGCGCCATCTCATCATGCCAACCTTCTCCGTATGGCTGTAAAGTGATTGCATCGACATGGTATGGGATGAAGCTGCTATGAGGGCCTGTTGCAAGTCCGAGGCTTTGCCTCATCATACCTCGTAAGATCGTACGCAACCTGTCTTGGTAGCTATTGGAGTGGTTCTCTATGCCTTGAATGGCCGTGTGAACGCCCATTTGACCGCCGGCAATATTGACCATCGAGTTAATTAGATCTAGATTTGGCAACTGGCCGTTTGCTCCGTCGTAAAGAATATGCAGTGCTTCGAATCTGTGATCAACCGCGTAATCGAGAGCTAGAGCACCTTGAAGTGCGCCGGATTTCAGTGGCAGCGGGGCAATATATCTTGAATCGTGTGCGTCGTGATAGGCGTCGACCCATGCTTGTGTCCCGGTTCTGCTGTCGGGAGGAATAAAGATAATAATGTCCTTGGACCAGAGAGACCATCCTGTGGGACGTCAGTAACGAGTTTTGTAGCTGGCCAAGTGAGGAGTAAAACAGACTCTTGAAATAGCGCGCGAGAGTGAGCGCGAGAGTAACCCCATTGCGGTTCATCTCTTCTTTGACCGTCTTCCATGCTGCCACTAGAACAATCGCTTCCGTAGCATCGCCACGGGGTGCTTGAAGAATGCCGTAGATGTTTTCACCAGTATGCTCGTTTCCTGCATAATGATAGGTATAGTTTTGTCGCCCGACTTTGACGCCGACCTCTTTCAAAAATATCTCCAATCGGTCATTAATCCTATAGCGACAGTTGGTCAGTATTGGTACCTCTTGCTTTTCCAAATGGGGGTTGTTTAGCCCTACTGGTGATTGCTTTTACTCTCCAGTGAATCCACCTCGCGTCTGTAAGCTCGAAAGATGTTTTGCTCACTCCCTCCGAAATATGTATGCACTTGTCCGGGTAGCAAGGCATTCTCGGATATATAGGTTCGCCTAGAGTAGTTCTCGAGTGGGAGTAAGAGGAGCCAGGCAAAACCCACAATGATGCAGACGAGAGAGAGATACGGAGGTAGCTTAAGCATCCGTGGATCGCGCCGTAGCGCCATGGCAGAAGCTAAGTAGCATGTTAGCATCGCCATAGATATTCAAGGCGTTGTTGTCATACAGAGTAGTCGTGGCATTTTTTCTTATATGCACGGCGACCCGTCGCGCGCGTTGAAAGGGTCGACTGGTTGTGTTGAAGTTCAGATGGGTGGTATCACCTGTGTACGTACCTACCTAGGTACCCAGATATTTCAGCCCACCTCCTCAGTAGGTCGGTACCTATACCGACCTACCTACCTATATAAGTAAGGCCTATTTTTTTATATAGTACTAGATAAGTTTCTTAATTAATCTATAATTTTTCCTATTATAATATTACTAGTTATTTAAAATAAGATTTAAATATATTAAGGATTTTTTAATATATAATAATAGTTTAATAGTATTATAATAAGAAAATTATATATTAACTCTAAAGGTTCTTAGCTTTCTCTTATAAGTATAGATTCTCTATCTCTTTAATTTTACTTTTAAAATATAAGTTTCTTCTTTTCTTTATTATATTACTTATTAGTCCTTACCTATTATTAACCTAAAGTTGCTAGTTATTAGGTAGTTTAGTATATATATATATATATATAGTTTAAGTACTATAGTTATAATAGCTTAAAATAGCAATATAGTAGATATATATTGCTTTTAGGGTTATAGAAGGAATTGCATTTTATTGGCTATAAGAAAGCCTGCTTTGATACGAGGGAAAAAGTCTTTACAGTAAAGCCATCGTTTTACCAATATATATCGCTAGTGCTATTGCAGTTTTAAGTCAGCCCCTAAACTCCGACCTAAGATGCACCAAGACTTTCCCCCCTTAAAAGTAAAGAAAAGAATAGATATATATATATACCAAGAGTACGCCACACATGGTAAAGCTTATGGAAAACTAGGGTCCTAGCCGCTGCGTGCTACCGACCAACTCGGTGGCGGGGCTTCCTCCCATGCGAGTAGTAGAGGGCAAAACGCCAAATCTACCATATGTTTTTTGATCGACACTGACATAATGTGGCAAGGTCGCAAGAAGGTTTAATTTCACCTCAAGCCATCGCAGCACCCACTCGGGAGGCGCAATATATTTGACGTAGCCAAGGCCAGCTGGTGAATGTTAGTAATAAGCAAATACCTCGATAAAACCAGTTCGCCCTTACCGATATATCCAACACCAAGACCACATATATGCCCAAGGAGACTCGAGCTCGGGACTAGTGCTGCTACTACAAAAGCCAAAAGTAGTGGTGTTGTCCAGGTTGGAATGTGATGGGTGCCGATGATTAGGTGCGGGTTCGATCGATATGTTCGGATGGCTTCCATGCCTAGAAGCAGAAAGACCCATATGCTGTGCAAAAGTTAGTTTGTGAAGGCTGCTCAGGTCGCTATCGCAATATAGTCTGACCTTGCGCCCATGATAGCATTGTTCAGTTGCAAAATTGCCGACTCGATAACAAGATACAACACAGCAGGAACCGTGGTTAAAGCTGCTACAATTAGTATGGTCTGTTGATATGATATCCAGCGGCAATAACTCACGCCCGAAAAAAAGGGCCAGAGATGTTAATGTGCCATATTCGTTTTCGAAGCGTTCCATCAAAGGCGTTAACGCAAATATATTCACGATCGCGTGCAAAAGGTTTAGATGAATAAGTGGAAAGGTATTGATGCGATGCGCTATAAAAGATCAGCATTCGGTTCCAGGAGTGTTCTTTTGAATTGAAAAAGCCTACCTGCGAAGAGCGAGACTTTGCTAGGAACCAGAGATCCCCAAGCTTGTACATCCCAAAATCCCGGTAGGCTAAGAAGCGACAGGAAAAATATGATAAAGACGATAGCTCTGGTGAATAAAGGGAGCCGCAGCAGGTAACCTTTCGCTTTGACGGTGTTGAATCCGCGAACAATCGCCATGGTTGATCGCGCGATGGACGGCACTATGCCAGGCTAAGTTCGAAAAGAAGAGCTGATAGACGGGTCAATGTCGCTAGCGCGATGATCACAGCACACGGTATCCCAGAAATATCAGTTGTCCCTCCCGTTCGGAGCCGGTTCGCCAGTAAGACTTCAATCGGAGGCCAAGTTGTTAGTTATCTTAGTAGGTACTCGTTTCTAGCAGAGCTGTTCCAGGGGTCGTTGCTAATCGGCACGTGACTGTGACAGTTGGTTTCTAAGAAGGTTGTGGACCTTATAGGTACCTCCTTGGTATATACTACCTATATACGCGAGTAAGACCTATTTTTAGATAGGGTACTAGACAGGTCTCTTTTTTAATAGCTATTTTTCCTTTATTATAATAATATTAGGCTATTATTTATTAAGGTGTATAAGATACTTAAGTAGAAGGAGTAGAAGGTCTATTAAATATAAGTTATAAGTAGGAAAAGTAGATTAAATAGGTAAAAGAAGAAGGAAGAAGAATTATAGTATTAATAGCTATAAAGATTATATAAATTATATAGAGGGATTACTATACTTTATAGCTAGAGACTATAGAGACCTTTCTTCTACTTCTAAATAACTACTAAATACTTTAATATAGGGCTAATATAGGTATTCTAGAGTATTTAAGAGAAGGTATTAAAGGTATTCTAAAGTATTTAAGAGTTATATAACTCCTTTATATCTTATATAATAGTTATCTAAATTATATAAAAGTAGGTTTATTATAATAGGAAAAATTAGGGTATTTTTATAGTATATATAATTATACTATTATCCCTTATATCCCCCTATAAAAAGTATATCTTAAATTTATATCTCTTTAAGTAAAAGTATTATAAGATAGGAAAAAATTATATATATAAAATATATAAAAACCTAGTTATATATAGGAATTTAAACCTATTATTATATAGTATTAGGAATTTAAACCTATTATATAGAAAAATTTTATAGTATATAGGAATTTTAACCTATTATAATATATAGGAAATTTAACCTATATTATAGTTATTAAAGTCTATTAATATTATAATAAGAAAAACCTTTATTATTTAGGTAAAAACTTATTTATATATATATATATAAGGAAAAAACTATTTATTTATATAGTTTATAAAAACCTTATTATTTAATATCTTATTAAATCTTATTAATTAGGTATATTACCTAGAGATAATTTATTAAGAAAACTATTAAATTTAATTAAGCCTAGGGGCTTAGTAAAAATATTAGCTAAATTATTAACTATTTTAATATAGAAAACTATTATATTTTTATTTAAAATATATATTCTAGTATAGTAATAAGCTATATCTATATACTTAGTTTTCTTATAAAATTTAGGATTTCTTACTAATTTAATAGTAGCCTAGTTATTTATTAAAATAGGAAGTATAGAGCTTTTTCTATTTAAATTTAAACTATTAGTTAAAAATTTAAATAAATTATTTAAAAATATAGCTTCTTTAGTATAGTCTCTTAAAGCTATATATTTAGCTTTATAAGTACTTAAAGCTATATATTTTTACTTAGTATAAGACTAGCTTATAAGGTTATTATATATATAAAAGCTATAACTAGTTATAGATTTTCTTTCTTCTAAGTTACTAGCCTAAGAAGTATTAGAAAAACCTTTTATAAAATTATAATTAATAGGAAAATTATAATTATAAAATAAAACTCTATTAGGAAATTTATTTAAATATTTCTATATAGTATTTAAAGTAAAAAAGTAGGTATAGTCTAGTTTAGAAGTAAACCTAGAACAAGTTATAACTATAAAGGCTATATTAGGCCTAGTTTTTAAGGCTAGGTATAATAAAGAGCCTATTTCTTTTTAAAATTATAATATATCTATTAAGCTAGCTTCTATAGTAGATTTAACTAGCTTTAAACCTTTTAATATAGGGGTATTAGAAGTTCCTATATTTTCTTTATTATATTCTTTTATTTTATTAATAAGATATTTATACTAAGAAAGATATATATACTTATTTTTTCTATTAATAGTTATATTAACTTCTAGAAAATCTCTTATTTTACCTAAATCTTAGACTTTTATATATTTATTTAGGTTAGAGATAGTAGTTTTTATTATATTTATATTAGCCCCTATAAATAGGATATTATTAATATATAAAATTAAGGCTATATTATATATATTATTTATAAATATTCCCTAATTATAAGAACTAGTATAAAATCCTAGTTTATTTAAATTATTTAATAGAAAATTATACTATAGTCTAGGGCTTTGTTTTAGACTATATAACGCTTTATTTAATTTAGTAATAATTCTACTAGTTTTATATAATTCTTTAGCTTAACTTTTACTTATATTTAATTTAGAAGATAATTTTTCTAATAAATAATCTTTATAACCTTTAGGTAAAATAGTATAGATTTTATAATCTATATTAGTATATATAAAAGCATTCTTTATATTATATTATTAGATATAATAGTTATTATATATAGCTAAAATTAATAGAATTCTTATAGATTCTATTCTAATAGTAGTTATAAAGGTATCTTTATAATTAAGTCTTTTAACTTATTTAAAACCTTATATAACCTATCTAGATTTATATTTATATTTATAATCTAAATTATTTTCTTTTATTTTATATACCTAGTAACCTTTTAGAATTTCTTAATTTTCCTTAGGTTTATAGGATATAGTCTAAGTATTATAAAAATATAATTTATCTACTTCTAGTTTTATAGACTCTAGCTATTCTAAATTTTCCTTAGAATTTATAGCTTTATTATAACTAGAAGGCTCTAAAGGCTTAGTTATAGTATTAAGAATATAATTATTATAATTATTTATTATTATTATATTAGGGACTTCTTTATATTCTTCTTTTTTATCTATTTTTCTAGGTATATTAATAAATATATTAGTTTTAGGTATACCTTTAATATCCTCCTTAATAGAGTTATTATTCTCTATTAAAAAGTTATTTATAGAATTATTTTTTATATTATTAGTATTATTATTAGTATTACTATTATTATTATTAGTATTATTATTATTTATAATACTATTATTATTATTATCTAAAGAGATTTAGTTAGCTAAAGACTTGTTATAGTTATAGTTATTCTCTTTTAATAAATTAAAAGAGATATTATTATTATTATTATTTATAAAATTATTTTCTAATATAACGATATTTCTAGAAATTATGACTTTTTTCTTAGAAATATCCTATATTTTATAAGAATTTAGAAGATATCCTATAACTATACCTTTAAAGGCTCTAGTCTTTAGTTTAGAACTAAGAGTCTTATTCTTATAATAGACTATACTTCTAAAAGTCTTTATAACTAATAAATTACATTTAGTTAAAATTCTATTTTCTTTTAATTCTATAAGACTTATATTATTCTTTAGAGAACTATATAGTATTATATTATATATAAATAGTAGTTTCTAAAGCTTCCCCCTATAAAAAGGTAAGTATATTAGCTATAAATAATATAGCTTTTATTTTATTTAATAAAGTCCTATTTACCTTTTCTATAGCACTATTAGGTTCTTTAGTATAAGGTAGGGAATTATTAAATTTTATACTATATAATTTAAAATATTATTTAAAATTATATATAACTTCTTAAGTATTATTAGTAAATACTAACTTTATAGTTATTTTATTAG